TGTCAATACTCATCTATGCAGACACTTGGAGGCCTCTGCAGCCATTGTTCAAGGGGGCCCAGCTACTGATCAATATAGTGGCAGGCCTCAGAATTATCTATGTGGTGCTGATTTTATAGGAATGCTGAATCAAGTTTTGGGGATCAGTGAAGTGATTTCAGAAGGTGGTCTGGAAAACCGGGCAGTTCACCTCTGTGTCAGCAGTGAGGGAAGTTATGAGAGTGAAGTCAAACATTTAATATAGACCCCAGGAGAGTGAAGAAGCCAGGAACACAGAATGTCTGAAAAAAGTCACAGGCAGTAAACAGAGCCAACCCAAGAGAAAGACCATAAAGGTTACAATCTGCAATGCCACAGTGGAAGGGCCACCTAAGCCTTTTGGAGTTCCCATCTCATCATAATTTGCCCCAGGTTCTGGACACAGAGATAGATAATTTAACATGTACTCTGCTGGGTTTTGGTCCTATTCCTTTTTTTCTTACATTTATTTCTTCCTTTTGGAAAGGCAATGTTTACCTTTTATTATTATATGGTACCACTGTTTAATCTTCTTTTTGATTTTTAGGGTGGTTCAGTCTAAGAGCTTGTATCACAGAATTTGGACTTGGACATTTCTGCAATGCTAGCATGGTTAGAACTTTAGAAACCCTCAGAGATAGGCTAAATGTATATTACATAAAGAGATGTGGATGAATATTTGGGGGCCAGGGTTAAAATGTAGTTTGGATCTAGAACATCCCTCAAAACTTTCATGGTAGGGATTTTGGAGGGTGGTTAAATCATGGGGGGACCATACTCATTTGGAGATTAATATACTGGGGAGTTCAGCAGTTGAGTGTGATGTTGGGGGCTGGGGCTTGGTAAAAAGAGATGGGTGTCGGGGGCATGACCTGGAAGGGTATATCTCTCTCCCAAGTACTCCCTTTTCTCTTTGCTTCCTGGTCATGATGTGAGGAGTTTTCAGTCTTCCTACTTACCAGGCCTTTCCACTGTTCTCCTTCTGCCTTGGATCTAGTTAAGCAGGAACTGTAACTGTAACTCAAAATACTTCACAATGTCCTCTCCATGTTGCTTCTGCTTTGGGAAAAGGTAATGATGGACTGAAACTTCTGAACCTGTGTGGAAAATTAAATCTTTCCTCCTTTAAGTTCTGGGTGTCAGGTATTTATCTCAGAAATGGGAAAGCTGACCAACATAAACATAATCAAGTTGGTTTCATTCCAGGGATGCCAGGATGGTTCGTTATATGCAAATCAATAAATGCAATACACCACATAAATAAAATCAAAGAACGAAAACTAGATGTTCATCTCAATTGACTCAGAAAAAGTCTTTGGCAAAATTCAACATCATTTTCTGGTAAAAATCCTGAAAAATTAGGTATTAGAGGATCATGCCTCTATATAATAAAGGCTATATACAACAAACCCAGAGCAACATCATACTGAATAGGGAAAAACTAGAAGTATTTACTCTAAAATCAGGAATGAGACAGAATATCCATTCTCATCAGTCCTATTCAAAATGATACTTGAATTTTTAGCCACAGCAATTAGGCAAGAGAAAAAAATAAAAGGGATATAAATAGAAAAGGCAGAAGTCAAATTATTATTCTTTATACACAATATAATTCTTTATGTAAAGTTCCTAAAGACTGCACTCAAGGACATTTAGAACTTTTAAACAAATTCAGCAAAGTATCAGAATACAAAATCAACATTTAAAAATCAATAGCCATTCTATATGCAAATGATGAGAAAGAAATCCGAAAAATTCCATTTACAATAGTTTCAAAAAACTAAGTAGAAATCAACCTAACCAATAATGTCAAATACCTCTACAATGAAAACTACTGAATACTGAAGAAAGAAATTGAAGACATTAGAAGTTAGAAAGACCACGCACATTTATGAATTGGCAGGATTCATATTATTAAAATGTCCATATTACCAAAAGTGATCTGAAGATTCAATGCAATCCCCATCAAAATTCCAATAACCTTCTTCACAGAACTAGAAAAATATTCCTAAAATTCATAGGGAAACACAAAAGATCCAGAATATCCAAAGAAATCCAAAACAAAAAGCAATGCTGGAAGCATCACAATACTACAATACTTGATTTGAAATTATATTACAAAGCCAAAGGAACAACAGCAGCATGGTACTGGCACAAAAATAGGCATTAGAGCAACAGGGTGGAAGTCACAAAAGAAACCTGCACAACTACAGCCATCTGGTTCTTGACAAAGGAGCCCAAAGCATACAATGGAGAAAAGACAGCCTCTTTAACAAATAGTCCTGGAATAAGTGGATATCCATACTTAGAAGATTCAAACCAGACCCTATTTCTCACCCTGTATAAAAAAAATCAATTCAAAATGGAACAAAAAATTAGGTATAAGACTTAAAACTTTGTAAGCGCTAGAAAAAAGCACAGGAGAACACAAGAAGTCATGGGCATCGGCTGAGTAAGATTCCAGTAGCACAGTGCATAATAGCAAGAATCAACAACTGGAACTACATCCAATTAACTAGATTCTATACAACAAATGAAGCAACAGAGTGAAGAGATAGCCTGAAGAATTGAAGAAAATCTTTGACAGCTACTCTCCCAACTAAGGACTAATATGTAGAATTCATGGTTTGTAATGGGTGAAGGATATGACCAAAATATATTAGACATGTTGAACCAAGTATTTTAAAAATTAATAGGCACTAAGAATAATAGTAAAAAACTCAAAAATTTTAAAGTTCTCCTCCCCCAAATTGCCCAATCAATAAATAGGCAAATGAATTGAACTGATACTTCTCAAAAGGAGTACAAATAGCCAAAAAGTATATGAACAGATATTCAGCATTTTTAGCCACTGGGAAAATGCTAATCAAAACTACCTTGAGATTCTGTAACCCCAGTCAGAATGGTGATTATCAAGAATAAAAAAATAATCAATATTAGCAAGAATGTGAAAAAAGGAAACCCTTCTACCCTGTTGGTAGGTATGCAAATTAGTACACTCACTATGCAAATAACTTTGGAATTAAAAAAAAAAACTTAAAATAGACCTGCCCTATGACTGAGGTATACCACTCCTTGTTATATATCCAAAGGAATTCCAGTTGGTATAGTATAAGGACACATCAATACCCACATTTATTGTGGTACAATCACAATAGTGAGGATGTAATCAATGTACAAAATGGAGTATTATTCTGCTAAAAAGAATGAAATTATGTCATTTGTGGAAGAAATGGATGGAAATAGAGATTGCTGTGTTAAGCAGAATAAGCCAGAACCAAAAAGGCACATATTGTAAGTTTTTTCTACTATACAGTACCTAATAAAAAAAAAAGAGGAACATACAAGGGGAAGTATTACTAGACAATAGAAAGCAAATAAAGGGGAAGGGAGAGGGGATATAAATCAAGGTAAAGGTGAATGATATGATTACATGTCATATATGAAAATGCCACATGGAAATAAAATACCTTGTAAAATTAATTTGCACTAATATAAATGTATTTGAAAAAGAAATATAATCATAAAGGAAAATAGAAATGGAAAACTTCATAATAAATATATCTAACCAAAATTCATAATATTAAAAATACATGTAAAGGCTTAAAAATACATTCTATGCAGCTTTATAAATATTAGATAAAATAATCTTAGAAAAATGTCATTTCTATTCATGCATGTGATAGTCACTTCCCAAACTTTACATATATAATATATCCTTAAATTATATATTATATATTGGCACATATATATTTAAAACACATATATTGACTATAAATATATCCACATATATATAAATTAGTTATCAGTCTAAAAAAATTAGTTATCAAGATATAACATTTACAGAAAACTTCTTCTGTTTTAAAGTATATACAGAAGAGGTTGGCATGCTATAAGGTAAATGAGTTTATATTCTACACATTGAGTCAAAAGAAACTTCACATGAACTTTATAATTTGATGAGTTTACTCTCATGTGGAGCAAGTTAATATAGTTGACTGAGTAGTGGTGAGGAAGAAGTTTTGAGTCGGATCCATTTGCCTTGTAAACCTATATTTTATTCAAAGGGTAACTTTGATTTGAAGACTCGGGGAAGATCTTGTCCTACCCAGGGTGCAGGTTTTCATTTACACAGAGATCAGACTAATGACAGATGAGACCTTTCCTAGTTCCTTTTAATCACGCTTATATAACTGAAACATTTATAGTTCAGGGTGCTCAGGAACAGGCTTACATATGAAGTTTATTTATCACAAATATGATGCTTTAAAAATTATATAAAGTTTACCATCATTAATTCCACTGTAATCCTGATTCTTCATTTCTATCATTACCTAATATCCAAAGCAAAACAAAACCCCGAAGGTTAAAAGAAGCACACTCTAACATCAGATAACCTGAAGTCAAAAGCTTATGTGGTTTTTTGAAAAATTAACCACTGCTGAGTCCTAGTTTCCCCATTTATAAAAAGTAGATAAAATACCTGTCTTATGGTGTCAGGCAGAATAAACTCCATACTACATTCAGAATACTGAGCACAGTGTCTAGTGCATGGTAGGCACTCAGTTGATGTAAGTAGATTTCTTTCTTTTTCCATTTTATCGTTAAAGAAATTCACTTTATCATAAAACACTGAATGTTATACTGCGCACAGAATTATTAGTCCTTAATAGACTAAATATTCACTTTCAATCACCAATAAGTTTTCTATCAGTATTACAACTTGCAATAACTGAGAGAAAAATGTACAAAGTACTAATTATAAAATCGTTGGGATAAGTCAGTGTATTATGTAATAGTGTATTAATTACATTATTTTCACCAAGAGAATGCAAAGCAAAAGATTAACAATATAATGGAAGATATCTAAATACATAAGTTACAACTTTAGTATCATAAATAAAATTATTTCATGGTAATTATTTATACTAATTATAATTAATATGCTACTAATTACACTTAATATGCTACTAATTACTTACATGTTTCCAACGTGCAAGTTTTCCTTTTATGTTAGTTTCAAGCTTAGAAAAGATATCCTTAAAGACTTTGTCTTCATTTTCTTTGGTTATGTAAACCCATTTGGTTTCATAGTCTCTAATAATTTTCTCCTGATGCTTTTTACACAAAAACGAATGGCTGAATATAAGGGGAGGGGAACTATCCATTAGATTTTTGGCAAAAAGTCAAAACTACTGATGAATTTACAACATCTTAGAAATGATGATGATAAATACAATGTAACATTTTTTACCTATACATTATAATACTATGTAAAGACTAAAATTTATTCATCAATACTCATGAAGGAATAAAGGAGTGCTGAGAAATTTCTTCAGCTACAAACCCATTAAACAATTCATTACTGATACCTGTTATGTATTTTAAAATATAAAGGCAGAAAGAACATTACTAAATTATCAATATAAATATAAGATAATCAGTGGGCCTTTTTCCTTGTCAGTAAAGAAGTAACATGTAATTTCTGGCCTACAAAAATTATATTTGTATTACATTACAAAAACACTGAGAATGGAAGTCTTGAACAGAAATGTTCAACAGAATATTGTACAAGCCACTAAATAATTTTCACTTTTCTATTAGTCACACCGAAAAAGGTAAAAATGAATAGGTAAGATTAATTTAATACTATACTTTATTTAATGCAATATATCCAAAATATTAACAGATCTACAAACTAACACCATACCTAAAGGTAAAATGCTAAATGCCTTTCCTTCTAAGATCAAATACAAAAAACGGTATGTCCCCTCCCACCAAAACTATTCAACACTGCAACACCATAATAGAACTTCTTCTTCTATCAATGGAAAAAGCTCGGCACTATAAGCAAAGAATAATAAGATTATATTCATGTCATCATATCAACAAATAATTGGAGGAAAAAATGTATTATCATACAAATAAATGCAGAAAAGGCATTAGAAAAAACTGAGCAGCCCATCTTTTTTTCAACAATCTTTGTAAGGGAAGATCAAATTAAAGAACACCAACATCACGGAAATGACTCACCAAAAATGGATCTGAATTTTTTTTTCTTTGTACCAGGGATGGAACTCAGGACCCTGCACTTGCAAGGCAGGGGTGGTGCTTCTGAGCTAAATCCCCAGCTACTCACCAAAAATGGATAGCACTCATTTTATATGACAAAATAGTAAAATCATTTGAATTAAAATAATGAACTAGATGAAAAGTTTATAGTTACAGCACTTATTTAAGAGCAGAAGTAAAACAAAATAATGCAAGAAAACAATATTCCTATTTCTCATCTGCCTCAAGTGGGTTCTATTTACTCTTTAATTCAAAATATTTTTATTGGTGACCTATATGTTAGTTCAGGTAAGACATGGTAAGAGAATAAAATGTATAACAGTGTCAGTTTACCTCTCATGCTGAGCATGGGCCAGAATACATTCATAACATGGGTTGAATGATGACATCCCATGGGAAAGGGAATACATGAAAACAAGGGCACACAATAACCACAAAAACATGTGTTAGGTTTCTACCTAGAAGTCCCCCCAAAGCCTCATGCATTCATAGGTGGGACTTCAGGGAGGTGACTGGATCATGGTGCCTGATACTCATCAGTGGACTGGTCCACTGAGTGAGTTTACAGCTCACCTCCTTGTCTGAGGTGAATCCTGGCCAAAGAAGATGGTCCACTAGGGATGTGGCCTGGAAGGGTCCACATTCCTTCTCGCTTTGCAGGCAGTCAGACATGAGCAGTGGGTGGTTATCTAGAGCTGTAGATCCTTTACTGGCTATTCTACCTTCTATGGGTGGTCAAGGGCAGCTGAACTGTGCCAACTGTTTTTTTCTGATAAGAAGTGGGCCAAGGCGTGAGAGGGCCTCAACCGAAAAGAGCCCCTAAGTGGAGAGGTGAACACAAACTAAACATGAAGTAGAACTAGGGATGTTCCACCTAATGCGTCACGCATGCTGACTGACATGGGTGTCCTTGAGTTGACCTATCATTGTTGTATGCTTAAGGCCAATCCACATACACAGGTAATTGATTTCTGGGGAATGATGGGAAAACCCATGTGCAATTCAAAATTAAAAGTAGGGAAAGAATAAATCATAAATATGCAGGAGTGGGGCATGGAACACCCTAAAACAGGACACATGGTAAAGTAAAAGAATCTAGAACAAAAGAACTGTCAACCTTCACACTCTGGTGACATCCTGGCTTTTTTGTTATCAGTATCCTACTTTGCAGTAACTCTTTGGTTTTGAAACCACTTCCTTGCATGCTTTAATCTAATCTTTATAGATTACACAGGGAATATTGTGATATCTATAGATATATCTGATTCTTAAAGGAGTCTGTGATCTCACCAAAATAAATAAATAAGAAACCTGGGAATATACATTAAAATAAGGATGTTCTAAAAATGCAGAAGCATAAAAATAAAAGTTAAATGGACAAAAAAATCAAGTCTTAAACATCTGAAATGCGTAAAGTAAAACAAACTCAATGAATATAAATCCAGATATCATTCAACTAAAATAAGCCTAAAATGTGAGTTTTAACTTCTTTTAAAACAAAAATAAACTGACAATAAACCAAAAACTATGCTATGAATAAGACAGATGAATTCCTCAAGACAGAAGTTTGTTCCACACAGGAAGTACTCAGTGTTAGGGAAATTCTGTGGTACAAAGACTCCTGGCCAAGAAATTAGTACATTAGCCCCTACATGGAGCTAATGCTTTTGCCCCACTGAATTAAGGCAGCATTATTTTGTTCTGTCTTTGTGTGGAAATGTGGGATGATATATTAAATAAAAATAATATACTTGAAATTTGAAGACTAGAAAGACAGTATAAAGTCCCATAAATAGTTCTCAAAAATGAGGACATATATTCATCAGTTCCAATGATTCTCCCCACTAAGGTTGTCAGAGGGCCAGGCAGTAACTTCAGCAAATTAAAAAAAAAAATTCTCTTTTGGGAATTAAATAACACAATAAATTTTTAGATTAATCATTAGTTAAAAATTCAGTATATAATACTAACAAGATATTTCATTATTTTTAACATTTGAGTTTTAAAAGTTTGAAATTAATTATCTAAATTTAATAGAAAAATACAGGGAAGTGAACATCAAAACTCATGAAATGTGGATCAGAGCAATTTTTCATAATAACATAGATACATTTTGCATATTTCTAAAAATTTACAAAATATGATATGCAGAGCTTTAATTTAGATATTAATAAAAATTTGAAGTAGTATGGTTTTTTGGCAATACATAACGTACATTAATAAATTATAAAGTATATAAGCATGAAAGACAAAAAGGACCTATAATTAAAATAATTATTAATTTGAAAATACAGCTGTCTTGTTTATACTTGGTAGTCTTTAGCTCTATTTTCCCAAAAGAAAATTATTGGTTACAATGAAGTGCCATCTTTCAGTTCTTTTTTTACTGTAAAATAAAAGCAGCTCAAATTGTTGAAAAATAATTATTGTGTACAGCAAAATAAAAATTATCATCTTTACAACATTTGTGACTGCCGGGGATTTAGCTCAGTGATTTCGCCGCCTGCTGCGCAAGAGCAAGGACCAGAGTTTGATCCCGGGTACAAAAAACAAACAAACAAAAAAAATTTGTGACTAAAAATATTTTAAACAGAAATTAACTGAGAAGTAATGTAAAAGACTGTAGTTTTCCACTTTGACAGTGACTGAAAGTAAAACATAAAGGCAGATGTAAAAATGTGTATATTTTAATACAATTAGAAATGTTAGCTTTCTATGTACCCTCTAAATGCTACTTTCAAATTCATTTACCAATATGTCTCATTCCATTAAAAACTTAATAAATGTCTCATATAAAATGTATAAAAAAGGTAAACAAATTCTCATAAGATCTTAGTTATTAATGTGTTTATAATAATACTATTATAAATATCGGAAGAGCATATATCGTATTCATAATATTAATAATGAACAGTATAGTTACTAGTATCAGTAATACAATAATAAAAAATAATTTATATGCTTATTGGCCTGAGAATTCAAATTCTATAAATGGTTTTTAAAGATATAATAATACATAATATATAAATTTAAGGGGTTTTCCATTTTTTTTAATTTTGGAGAAAACAGAAACAGGATCCAAACATCCAAAGGGAAGAAAAAAGCTTACCTAAGTAGAATACACCCATTCAAAAGAATGCAGGCAGCTACTGAACATCATAATGTGAAATAATGTTCAGTAGTATAGAAAATAGAAGCACATCTATCAGAAAATCTTTGTGTAAAACAAACACGCACATATATACCCATATGAATGCATTTACTTTAAAAATTTACACATACACAACTACTAATCATTACTATTCCCTCTTTTTATAGAACATTTCACAACTGCCTAGTCATACATTCAGTTGCATTTTCCCTTGCACATGTGTACATAAACTTTTGCCTTCCTCATATAAACACTGAACCTTGTGAAATTTATTTCTTTATACTTTACTTTTCTAATACACATTATTGAAATCCCTTAAGTTAAACAGATGTATTACTACTGTGGTTGGTGGTGATGGTATTTGGGCATTGAAGCCAGGGTAGAGCTTATTATTTTAATAGCATATTTCATACTATCCTTTTGTATCAAATTTTTAATTATTCACATGTTTCTCCAAGTTTCCATCACTAAAAATAACAAAATATGTCTTAATGTCTCTGTCTCTTTCTCATACACATGCACACTCACACACACATTTTATTTTGGAATATAAATTTCAAGAAGTGTTATTGGTGTATGAATATGTATATATACACACACACACACACACACACGCACACACACATATATATATGAAAGCGAGATGAGAAAGACAGACTTATTTTATAGAATTAGGTCACACAATTATGGAAGCTGGCAGGTCTGAAATCCACAAAACAGGCCAGTAGGAAAGAATTAATTCACAGTCTTGAGTCAAAATCTGCAGTTTAAAAACTCAGATGGATTTTCTATGTTGCCTTGTTGAGGCAGAAATGTTTCTTCAAAATAAGTCTTAGTACTTCTTATTGACTAGTTGGATGATTCCATTCACACAATGGAATGTAGTCTGTTTCATTAAAAATCTATATATTTCAATTTTAATAAAACTCAAAACATACTTTTACAGGAACATTTACACAAGGAAGCTAAAGTGCCTTACATATATATATATATATATATATATATATATATATCTATCTTATTTATATCTATGTGTGGTTTTACAACCTCCTGAAATAAGATGTCTCTGGATAAAGCAAGCCTGCCTGTGTCAGAGCTAGCAGTCCTGAGACATAGCAAAGGACTTACCCAGGAGAATGCCTCTGCTGGGCCAACAGAGCAGTCTGGA